TTGGGGCAGAGCAGGAGGTGGGGATGGTGGCTGTTCGGGGATGGCTGTTCTCAAAGGCAGCTTAATCTTTTCCACCTTCCTGTGGCTCTCTGATTAAATCAGCTCAGTGTACCCTTGCTGTCCGGTATCTGATGTCCTGGGCATCTTGCATTTTCTTCCTGCTGGGAACGCAAGTGCCAGGGGGTTTTCCTTTCCCTCGCCTCGGTTGCAGGCTGCAATACGTGCAGCACTGCAGCCTCTTCTTTTCCCTCTCCTAGTGCTGAGGGATGCGGTCCCTGTCTCCGGCTGTGTTACACCTTTGCCATTTCTCTGCTCTACCTTGCTGGGAGCCTGGGTGCTGCTAGAAAGCAGTTGCATGGTTAGCCAGGCTCCCTTGCTGCTTTAAGTCCCCTGTGAGCTCCCTGGAGGAATCTCCTTTCCCCACAGGTGTACCTTCCATCTGTCAGCAAGTTTGTTGAAAGGATTTTGACAGGCAAATTTCTTCCGTAATCCTTAGTAGCTTTGAATTTAAAATGTTTATGGCAAAGTTAATTCTACAAAACTCCCTGTAGTTTTAATAAACCTGTTCTCCAGCAAGACTCTTCTGGTGAGAGGAGGTAAATCTACTTCTTCCTGCAGTGATAAATATCTGCAGACTCAGTTGTTGGGGCAGCTTTAAGATCACCTACTTGGTCCACACTTAAAACTGGTATCTCTGCTCAGAGTGTCTCGCTCAAAGCAAGACCCCCTGTGGTTATCAGCCCGCATAACCAGTGTTGGGACAGAAAACTGCTGGAGTTGGCGGGTCCCTTGTGGTGTGACGGTCCATGCTGGACGCTCCATTTGCAGCTGGAAGGTGAGAGAAAGGGTCAGGCTGGGATTTCTGGGTATTTCTAGTCCCAATTCCTTTACTCAAAGCAGGGCAACTTAGGTGGGACAAGACCCTGAGTCACCTGATTGAGTTTTGAATATCTCCAAGGACAGACAATCCATAAGCTCTAGGGCAGGGGGGCACCTTCGTTGTGCTCCAGTGTCTTTCAAAGATGGCTTTAACCTCACGGTATCTTTAATTTATGTTTGTGCCGGTGTCACTCAGAGGGAAGAATGAATGGAGTCCTTTGGAAGTCCTATAAAAATACAGACAACTAGAGACTTCTGAACCTAGGGTGCAAGGCAGGCTGGAAGCAGCGTATAAATGACTTGCCAGGGGATTTTAGCACGCTGCAGTCGGGCTGTGTGCAGGGCTGAGCCTCTGCCCCGGCTCCTCTGCGGGAAGCAGCATATCACACAAAAGCCAGGGCTGTGTGGTTAAACAGCCACCGTTAGTCTGGCTGGGAGAGGTGGGACCGGGGTTAGTCTGCTGGCACCGGGAGCTGCCAGATAGCCCGGGCATTGCTCACCCTGCTTACCTCGGGGTGTGACAGCTGGGAGCTGCCTTGGCATGCTGCCCCGTGCACCTCGCCCTGTATCAGTGGCGGCTGCTGAGAGTCACAGGAGATTGTGCCCTCTTCGTGACACCCATTTCCCTGGTCCCTCGGCCAGCTTTTACCCTTGACACAGAAGGCAGTTGTGCCTGGTTTGCACAGTAAGACCCTCCTCTGGCTGGAGACGGGCTGTTTGCCAGTTCCCCTGCCAGGCTGCAGAGCATCTCGTGGAGCAGCACAGGTCTGCACAATAGCACGAAGTGGGATTGGAGGCTCTTCTTGCAGCCCCTGCCTTGAGGAAGGAGTAGAGGGGGTCTTGGTCAGACCAGAGTACCCTGCTTGCCGTGTGGGGAAACTGAGGCTTCGCTGTAGCTTGGTTTTGGGAGAAGACATTAGCCAGACCATGGCCGAGCGGCTGCGAGGAGGGCTGCGGGCGGGAATGGATGTTGCTGGAATGAGCAGGTCAGTATGCTAGAAGCAAGCATGCAGCATGCCAGGCCAGTCAAACCTGGGCTGGACCATCCTACACCTTCCCGCATGAGCCCTTGGCTTCTGCTCACCGCCATAAAGGCGGTTATCTCAGCCCGGAACAGACCTTGTCCTTACAAACGCTTGTGAAGATGACTCAGTATTTGCGGAAGCCCTTCGCCTCCACGCCATTGCCTGATCCTCGTGAGCAGAGACTGCCGAGAGGAGGCTCACAGGTTCCTGCTCTGCTGGCCCGCTTCCCGCGGGGCGTACCCCGGGGCTGTGTGGTGGGGCAGCGTGCCCCCGGGGAAGGGCTCAACGTGCCACTTGCCGGCTGTAACTCCCCCAGCTGAGTGGCTGTGCGGAGCAGCCTGGCTGCCACCGCCTCCTGGGCGGCTGCGCCCCCTCCGAGGGTGCAGAGACCCGTGTACGGGGCACGGGGTGGCGTCGGGGGCTGCGAGCCCTGCCCAAGCTGCCCGTGGGG